AAAAAAAAAAAAAAAAAAAAGAGAAGAAGGAAACAAAAGGAAAGAAAGAAAAAAAAAAAAAAAAAGACCTGTCCCCATGGGAGCCCTCTTCTTCGATATCGCCGAGGGGTTCGACAAAGGTTGGTACAACGGCTTTATTTACAAACTATACACATGGAACCGCCAGATAGACTCGTGCTCGCGAGTAGAGGGAATCCGATCTCCCCCGCGAAATATTTCGGCCGGAGTCCCACAAGGCTCCACTCTCTCCCCTCTACTTTTTAGCCTATTTATTAACGACATACCCCGGTCACCGGCGACCCAGTTAGCCCTTTTCGCCGATGATACGGCTATCTACTACTTACTCGAGTAGAAAGATGTCGTTCATGCATAGTAAGCTCCAGATCGCAATCATTAATTTAGGACAGTGGTGACGGAAGTGGCGCATCGACATCAACCCTACGAAAAGCACAGCCGTGCTCTTCAAAGGGGGTCGTCCATATATAATGTAATACTTTATTTTATAACACACACACGCGCCCACACACACACACACACACACACACGCGCACACACAAACGCACACACAGGTTTTCCTAGCATAAAATTCAGGGAATATTGTTATTGTTTACCTCATAAAAAAAGCCATGTATCCTATTATACTAGTGTTATGAATTCTTGTACGTGTTTGTATTTTAAGAGGCTTGATATTATTATTATTATCTCATATCGAATTAGGTGCGGTTAATTCATTCATGCCATTAAATTCTTTGGACAGCCCATACCGTGGGCTTCGAAAGTCAAGTATGTAGGTGTCGCCCTCGACAGAGGAATGACATTCGATCCCCACATTAAGACAGTACGCGACTGTGCTGCGTTTCTACTCGCTCGACTCTATCCGATTATTTGCAAGCGAAGTAAATTATCTCTTCGTAACAAGGTGACATTCTACAAAACTTGCATACGTTCTGTGATGAATCTCTTGAAAATCTCTCTTCTCGGCTCTGAAACGCTCCAAGAACTTTCTAGATCTTGAAATAAAGTCGGAGACGAGGAAAACCCATAATGAAACATTGAAAACCCATAATAAAACATTACAAGTTAAATTACTTAATTTATTTACAATTACAAACAACCGCTACACTGGGATTCACTTAATATCAAAAGTAGTTTTTTTTTGTAGTACATAGTCCTTCCCGGGTCGAATTACACCAATAATGGCAATTAATTCACTTCGCCCTCGTGTTTCAAGGTGGACGGTAGCGCTGTGGTCCATGGGCTACCATTAAAACTTCCCATCAACTAGTGTGGGATCTCCACTGCCCATACACACTTTTTTTTTTGCTTCAATCAATTTTTTTTATTGATACCATTAAACCTGAAGGAAGCGTCGTAATAATACAACAGATTGGAGTGTACTTCAGCAAATACTTGAAGGTCAGTTTATAAAATAAATAAAAAATACAAATTTTAAAACGATATTGTTTCAAAACAGTAAGTAGGTATAATATAACTGATTAGCACCCTTTTACACTTTATTTGTAATATCATAGACACTACCATATTAAGTATGATAAAGTTTAATAAAAATTTATAAAAGCCTCAAGTAAATCTATGAATTAGGACTAGGATACAATAGTTACGAGGAATAACAAAACAAAAAAAAATGTAATTAACAACTCAACTAATTTGAATTAAATTAATTAAATTATATTCAGCTATGCCATGCAGCATACGGCTTAAAACTAATTAATAAATAATCCCAGGATATTTATTCGTTCAAATTCAGTAATTACAATACTTTTTTTTTTGTCACATACATAATGTCACAACAGTTAACTTGAGCATTTCGACTTCTGAACGTCACTAGCACTCTTTTGTTTTGACTTTTTGGCGGGAACGCGAGGAGTGAAGTTGTGTGATTCGTTTTATTTTGTCTATTTAGTGTTTGCTCAGGTTTAAATGTGTAATAACAGTGGTTTATTAACTGTTTAATATCTGTGAAAGTGCAACAAAGCCGCCGGACTTAATTTCTCGGGATCCTCCAAAAAGTCCACTGAAAAAAATCTCAGTAAATGACCACCACTTTACTGAGATTATATTTCATCCCATATCATCTCATCTCATTTAATTTCATACCAGTTGATTAATGTCTCAAATTAATCATCTTCATTTCATTTCACTCCACATAATCAGTTTTCATAAAATTACAAATATAAATTAGACTAAGACATGACTTAAAGGTCTTTGTTACCAGGTCATAAAATCCCTTAAAAAAAAAACTTTTGTTTAAATCAAGTCTTTTTAGGTTTAGGTGGTTCTGGGCACTGACACCACGGGGTCGCGTTCCGGTCGCAGATGAGCTCCACGTTGAGGACGGTCAGCGGCAGCCCGTCGATGGTGAGGCTGTGGAGGCTCAGCACGCGGTGGGCCACGTCATGGAGTCCGGTGCGGCGGTCACGACGCCGCGTCACCTCGCGCTGGTTGTAACACTTGCGCATGTCGCGTTTGCGATAAGTCTTATCGTGCATGTGCCTAGAACAATTTGTTAAAATCACATAAGATTCCTAACTATAAAATACCACTCCCACACGCTGTTTAGGAGCAACAGTTTGGGTTAATGGTTCCAAACTTATTTTGTCTACTGCCCACTTTGAGAATTAATTATTTTTTAGCGCCCCCATTTTTTCTACCTACTTAAAAACCACTATAGCGAGACCTCAGTCAGTGTCTAAGAGTCCTAGATGTCCTAAGAGTCCTCCTAGATGAAATTACAAATCGCCTCCCAAGCCTCTACACAACGCCCCCATTTTTTTCTGGATCTCTTACCACCCTTCATTAAGCCTGCAGCGCTCACAAGGGGGCGTTATCGTCCACTTTGGGAAAGGCTGGGTTAAACGAATAATATTAATGATAACTGTGGAAAAATCATAAAAATCATACACTATCATTTGGCCCCAAACTGGAAACCCGAGACTCATATAGATACTTATAATAATAATAATAATAATAATAATAATAATAAGACTTTTATTTCCCTATCTAGAAACCTAAATATTACATGTAAATATTCTCAATTATATATGACTCCCACATTCAGATCCAATTCCATTGCCGTTCACGTTTCCTCGACAGGAACCCCTATTTGGGTATAGTCCTCCTCCAGCCAGATACTTATATATGATTAAATATATAGATATTAAACTCCAAACAAAGAGCAAACAGATTTGTTCATCACATAAATGTTTACCGGATGTTAGTATCAAAGCACCTAGCAGTCAAAGACACTTACACCACTTAGTCAGTCAATCAACTGCCTGTGTGATGATTATTACAACAGCAGTGAGCTTACTGCATTTCTGACTTTGTTATTGACTACAACCTTGTGTAAGAAGATTGATCTTTATGTCCTGAAAATAATCTTGGCCACATTCCACATAGTATGTAGAATGTAACTATACTGAGACCTTAGAGCTCATATCTCAAGGTGAGTGGCGGCTTTTACGTTGTTGATGTCTATGGGCTCCAGTAACCACTTAACACCAGGTGGGCTGTGAGCTCATCACCCTTCTAAGCAATAAAAAAAAATATATTATTCACATGTGATCGACATTAAGCTATCTAAATACAAACATAAGTTTATATTTTCTTATCTATTAGCATTAATTCAGTATTTCGATCGATTAGCATGCATTTTTAAGTGGAGTAATATTAATTTTAGCACACAAGTCATTTGCGCCCGTGTATAAATTAATTGAAAAATAAATACACGCTGGCTTCTATAGTAGTCCAAAAACACATGTCACAATACATTCATATCAGTTCTAGTACTTAGTAATATCTATCTTATCATATATCAGTAGCCATTATCTGCTTCAATTGTATTTATCTATTCTTAATCATAGATTTTTGTGAACCATAAAAAAGTTGGGATCACTGTATCGCAGTCAACGAAAATTTTATTAACCTAAATATACCGAATTAGACAAAGAAAAAAAATGGTTCATCAACTTTTTTATTGCATAGATGGGTGAACAAATTCACAGCCTGCTTGGTGTTAAATGGTTGCCGGAGCCCATAGACATCTACAACGTAAATGCCGCCACCCACCTAGAGATATGAGTTCCAAGGTGTCAGTTATAGTTACAACAGCTGGCCCACCCTTCAAGCCGAAATGCATTACTGCTTCACGGCAGAAATAGGCAGGGTGGTGTTACCTACTCATGCGGAGTCAAGGGGACCTATCACCAGTCATTTTAATACCTTCAATACCTTTTCCTGTGTTTGTAATTTTTTTTCTTAAGCAACATCAAAACGAAATACAAGCATATTCTTGCTATTTTAGGCAAATAAGCATCTGCTCCATGTAATGATGAGCTTCTAGCTTCTAGCACAAATAAAAGAAATAATAAAAGAAATGTTCTAAACTGTTGAGTTTATTTAAATATTTTTTGTGTGCATTATTAACTTTACAATTTTGTAGGTGATATTGCATCTCCATCAGATATTTTGTAATGAAACATTTAAGGCAGTATCTGACTCCATTCCATATGCCAACTATATTGCTTTATCATTATATATGGCACATTTGCGTTGTGGATGTCTATGGGCTCCAGTAACCACTGAACACCAGGTGGGCTGTGAGCTCGTCCACCCATCTAAGCATCTAAGCAATAAAAAAAAAAAAAAAAAAAAAAATATATATATATATATATATACGAAAGTCTTTATCTGGTCTACGTTGTATACCAAAAGTCCCGGCTTGGGGCTGCTCAATTATGAACATTTAACGTTTTAGCCACAATAATAATGTAATCAATCTTTAACCTCATGTCCGAATGTGGGTAGCATATGAAGTGTATACGGCCTCAAGTGACCACTTAGTCAGATTAACTGCATGCTCATTTATCTGTTTAAGATACTGCTCAAACTTGTTATTTATTTTAAAATTAATATGATTGATTCTGTCTCTGGCGAGGCAGTAGCCATACAATGTATTGCACTCTGGCATGCCCCAAATATGATATTTAAAAGGTCTGCATAATTTGGTGGCTTTAAAAATGTATCTATGTTAATCTAATAGTAGACATTTGATACACATTCATCTATCACACATACATCATCAAATCTACTTCATCTAACCAACTTTTAATGTTAACATGACGCCTCACCTAAAGGTGTTCTCTCGTCCCGTAGTAATGTTGCTTGGCCTCGTAACTGTGAGGCCTGCATCCTTCAATCTCACATAGAACTCGTCGTCTTCCAGCCCCCAACCCCAGTAGTTATTGGACATTCCGTTGACCAGCTCATAATGTTCTCTCTTTATTAACAGTATACCACCAATGAAAGTTTTGTAGTAATATCTTGGATGGGTGTCCGGTGAAGAGATATGATATGGTCCTGCTTCAGGATATTCATACTTTAGGTTGTCGTTCAAAGGTAGAAGATCAACGTCGTGCATCGCCATGTATTCGAAATTGTTACGAGTCTGCAGGAATCCAACATTTATCAATGAAGCTCTGTTGAAACGGTTGCTGTCCTTCTGTTGAACCACAAAGATGTGGAATGGAATCTCTTGTCTCTTCAGGAAGGCGGTCATGTGAGGAACGAACTCTAGGAGCTCCTCGAAGCGGTCCCGGAACGGAACGATGATTGCTAGACGCTTTTTGTTTGTATTGATGGTAGGAATTTCGGCAACTGATTGCTTAAGCAATGCTGGTTTTTCTGTGAAAAAAGTTTTCCATGTTACGATTAATGGACTTGGGTAAATAGACAGAAGATTATTTAGTCTAAGTAAGTCCTAATCTTACCTTCTTCTATGGGCAAAGATGCTAAATAGCAGCCCATCACAAAAGTTAGTATTACGCACAAAACGAGACATCTTGAGTTGGTTATCCTGTAACCCATCAAGCTAATACTAATGTACATGAATATTTTGTGTCAAGTAATAGTTTTAATTCGCCTTAAAGTCATAATTTAATATTTTATTTCGTTGTTTCATAGACGACATTAGCGATTGAATTGTTTAACATTAAAATGTAATGATGACAGGAACGGAGAATGACAATGACGTTTAAGATCAAATGTCAACATGGTAAAAACTTTTTTAAATTTGATTTGTCGTAAGTAGTAGTAGACAAAAAGTCTAAACACTAAACTTGGCAATCTTACAATTTTTTGTCGTTAAGATAAGTTATACAAAAAGATACCTGAGAAAATTTTAAAAGGAATTTGATTATTGATTCTTATTAAATGAAACAGAATAAAATTAATTTAATTTTGATACTGTTATTTGTCATCAAAGTGCGTATTATTTTTAATATTAAGTGAAAATTTATGTATTTGCAGCTGCTAACAATAGCTTCATAGAAAGAAATACAACACTTTTTGATATACTGTCGATATTCCTTATTTCTGTCACTTATAAAAATATCGGTCGAACCTCACTTGTATGCATTGGCAATCTTTTAATTTATTATAGATGAATAAAATATAAATCTACAAATAAAACCCATTAACAATTATTTTGTAGTGATATTATAATAAATAATTCATAATAAAGTGCATTTAAAATATTTCACTATTTCTCATTACTTCTCATTAATACTCATCATCAAACGTAAGTTTTAAATTTTTTGTTCTCGGAGACTTTCATAGATGGCGCTAGTAGTAAGAAAGTATCAACATGAAATGTTTAAATGTGATTCAAGCAACCATTAAATTTTTTTTTACTTGACTATAACATGTGAGATTTATTTTTACTCAATTCATATATATATATATAAATAACATTTTGACTTAATTTAGTCAGTAAAAATGCGCAGCTAGCTATTAAAATGCGAATATATTGATGTCCTCATTGTTTTTTTTTAGTCACCAAAATTATTACAACGCTACGCTATTAGGTGAGATTCCATTTTGGAACCCAATTTTCGGTCTCTAGGTTTTTGGTCCAATGACATAAAATCCTAACTTGGAACCGTTCGAATTGAAACGCTACAAATTCGTATTACTTACGAGCAAGTCTATTCCTATTTCCCATTTTGAATCCTAGTAGGCTTTTGGTGAGGTCGCGGCAATACTCTATGTCTAAGGTTTTGCGACTATTGCCAGATCCGAAGCAGAACGCGAGCATTGTGACCAGTGTGCTTAGTGCGAGTTTTTTTACTTTCTCGATAGCGTAAAAGTTCGCTCATATTTGTATGAAATGGGATCGTTTGCCCTTAGGGGCGCTGTTCCAACTGCATACAAAATTGGATTAACTTTTACGCTATCGAGAACGTTAAAAAACTCTCACTAAGCACACTGGTCACTAGCGGACGCGACCTCCGCTAATCCAATTCCTATTAATAAATACGAAAACGCTGACTAATTTCTAATGGCACTTAAATTTGAAGTCAGGAAAGAATTAATAATGAATGAATGAGTTCGTTCACGAGTAAACAGGGAGTCATTAAGCTAAATTTGTTTGAATTGCTAATTAATGGTTTGAACGCACGCGATTCTGTGTTAGCGACTGTATTCATTCCAGTAAGTACTTGCTATCGTCTTCATGCGACCGATAGTTGAATAAACTTCGGGTCGAGATTATAAGTATAATAAGTTTTAGACATGGACATCCTATATTAAGTCATTTTCTTTAATTGAACATGAAAAAGGAATGATTTTTCTCCGTTCTATTGCAGTTAGTGGACGGTAAAATAAAAGTATGTAGTTTAACTAAAGATTGTTGGGCGACGAAAGTAAAGCATGAAAGAGGAGTGCATGCGGCAGAGATGGGAATGTTGAGATGGATGTGTGGAGTGACAAAAATGGACAAGATAAAGAATGAGTATATCAGAGGAAGTGTGAAAGTGGCCCCGATAAGCAACAAATTAAGGAGCGGACGGTTAGCGTGGTATGGACATGTGATGCGTAGAGAGGAGATGCATGTGACTAGGAGATGTATGAAAATGATAGTGCAAGGTAGATGGGGAAGAGGTCGACCGAAGAAGACATGGATGGAGTGTGTGAATGACGATATGAGAGAGAGAGGAGTGAGTGTTGAAATGACGGCTGATAGAAGGGAATGGAAGAGGAAAATTAGCTGTGCCGACCCCACCTAGTGGGATAAGGTGGAGAAAAAAAAAAGAAGAAGAAGTTTAACTAAAGATTAATTTTTTGTTTCTTTTTTTTATCCTGTTTTTGATACCGGTCAACATATAAGGCGTAGCTACAAAATTAAGTAGTTATCAGTTTTTGATGCGGGTCCAAGATTCCGTTGCCTACAAAGTTTTAAAAAAATGATTCAAAATATGTTTGCGTCTGTACGACTTGCTTAAAAAAATCGTTTTTTTTTTATGAATGAGGAATTACTAGTTGCCTAGAAGCCCTTTCAATTTCACCAGGACAGGTGGGCGAGCAAAGGCTCAGCCAGGAGGGGAAGACTTGAGGTATAATACGTCATAATTAACATTCGTTTTTCGTTCTTAAGTTATTGTTTGCATCTATGAAATCGCAATGACAGTTGTCATTTCATAATTAATCCTTGTTATAATGGCGATCACATTACAGACAATATGGCGACTTTTATTATTATTGTCGTTGGTTTATTAATACATTAAGCGAAATCAATAGAACAATTAGTTAAGTTCGTATTGTATTAAAAGTTAGATTTGATCATTCATATTGGACGTCGATACTAAGTTATAAATATATACGATACACCTATACTTTTTTTTTTAATTTCAAATGTTTTAACCGTATTCCTTTTTTTTATTGCTTTAATGGGTGGACTTGGTGTTAAGTGGTTACTGCAGCCCATAGACATCTGCAACGTAAATGAGCCACCCATCTTGAGATATAAGTTCTAAGGTCTCAAGTATAGTTACAACGACTGCCTCACCCTTCAAACCGAAACGCATTACTGCTTCACGGCAGAAATAGGCAGGGTGGTGGTGGTATTCCTAAAAAAAAGCAAACATATTATGCTTTTGTCTGTACCTTTATTTATTGCACTAGAAGACCTTACAGCTTAGAGCTTACAGTCCACCTGAAGCTAAGTGATTACGGGTGTTTATAGTTGTCACACTAATTTAAAAATAAGTGAATTGCTACTTAAATTACGGTGTTAGGTGCGGGCCTTAAATTTTGAATAATTTTTAAAACATATCAGAACATTGATAGAAGATAAATTGGCGACGATAGTGTGAATCTTCAAGTTCTTTCAACAATAACTGATAATAGTATTAAAAAAAAACTTTTCCGTTTTCCGTTTCACCCTTACTAGACTAGATGTGTTATGACTTCCTAAACTCAGTAACATTAACTGATAAAGCAAACTATAGCGTTACCTACTGGCTATTTACGATGACATAGCCCTCTAAGGCCTAAGTAGGAAAAACAAAAAAAAAAAACAAGAAACTGCTTATCAATTATGAAAAATACGTCAATCATCACGACGAGCTCTAGAAGTTTTTAAATGTCAACAATAAATAACAATATGAAAACAAACAAAGAAAAAACATTTTCAAACGCAATTAATTACTTGAACTTTTTATTACCGCCTAATTACATGGTTCGGCTGTACGGGCGAGCGGTCAGGGCTGGCGGCGTTAAAATTTTTTTAACAAATACGTTCCGTTTCATGCAGCAATGCATCAACGTCTCCTTTCTGACGATAATTCTAATAATACGTTTGTTATTAGTTTACGCTGAACAAGCTTACTAAAAAGCAACTGGCATTGGTATTAGACATGTCTTTTTTGTAATTAACGGGCTTGATGTCCAACGAGACACGAGCAATAAGAAAATTGAAATAACGATTGTTATGGATAATGATTACATAAATGACGTAAAAATGACTTATTTGTCGACGTCGAGAACGTTAACTAAACTTCTTTGGATATATCGCATCTATAGTATTGAAGTGGCTATACTAAAAATCTTAATTATAGTTTTATAGTTTGAACGAATAGTAGTGCTAAAGGACAAAAGAGAATGTAATGTTGCTGACGAGGATGCCGAAGACAGAGCGAAGTGGAGGAGTAAAGTGAGGAAAACTGACCCCACCACCATGTGGGATAAATAGCTGGGAAGAGAGAGAGACTTTGAACGAATTATAAACATCTATTCTATCAGTCTATAAAATTTCTCTCTCTTCTTCAGTCTATTTTAGTTCAGAAAAGGAGACATCTATTCTTTCCATCTTTTTCGAATCAAGTACATACCTAAAAGTATTAAATCGAAAAACTAAAAAAGTAGAATTCTTCAATTACATTTTTGGAGTTTACCAACAGACAAGAATTTTGGATTAAGCCACATCAATTCTAAAGGTGCGATATAATGCGATCAAATAGATATGACTTAGTCAGGATTAGTTGGTGAAGCAGTTGATCGTGGAATAGATGCGCAGAAAGCTCTTCAGAGGTCGAACTCCAACTCGATGGTGTAAGAGAATTAAGAGAAAATAAGAGACAACATGAGAAAGAAACTCTACAACCTTCTACTTTATTGACGTGAGACAAAAGGAAATAGAGACAAATCGAATTTGATAACGAACCTCATTAATGAGAACGACAAAGAAGAACAATAATGACTGAAAAGTGCAATAACTATATGGTGCCAGCTGTAATAAAGAAAGTGCTAGAAAATATCAAAATATAAATACATATTCAAATAGTCTCAAACAATCGGCTAGATGTTTTAGAGACGTGTATATAACCAATGAGCCCGGAGGGGCTATCGTTACGTCTTAATCACAAGTAATTATGATTGAATAGTACAATTATTATTTCGTATTGTTATATTTAATTCTTTCAGCTTATACTTTAACGGACGGTTCCGAGCACAGAGTAATTAAACGCATAGACAAACACAAAGCGTTTTTTTTATTATCTGTGCCCTCTAATTTTCGGAGGGAACTTAATTACCGTACCTATACTTTGTTTTTTGAGTTGTAAAGTACTAGTATTATTACTGTTATTCGTTTGGGAGTTTGATAATAGAAATGTATCTTTTAAAGTCTTAAGTGCCGTCTATAAGAATAAACGTGAGAAGTTTGGATAATATTTTCGGGTTTGGAAGTGATAGTTACTGGATCGAGGAAAATTGCGATAAGCAGCGGCTTCGAGCGTCTGCAGAACTGAACAATAGGTGGCTGTATGCTCACGTGTTCCCGAGGCAATAAAAAATAGGTTTTTTTTTAAACAGAAAATCTGTAGCAGGTGAACGCGTGCTACAATCTGCCAAGTGATAAAATAAAGTAACGCTGTTGACGTCAAAACTTTCTAATCTATTCGTTGCTACATAAATAAAAGACCCTTTAAAATAATTTCACGAAAAATAAACAAACAAACATCAAAAACATAATTTAATAATTAATATTTTAATTAATTTAAACTGAATGTTTCACGAAGATATACCGCGAAACGCTATCCAAAAACGTCAAGTTGTAAGTTTAAAATGTTTTTTCGAACACCTTACTCATAAATTAATTTAAAAAATCGTCGAGATATTCCCAAGAAATTAGTCTGAAAAACAGTGGTAATACATTTCAAAGTTTATTATGGCAGATTTTATCGAAACTATACACGTTTTAATTGGTCCGAATCAGGCAAAGTTTTAGGGTACACTTAGTTCGGTCATAGATAAGTCTAGAACTAAGGTTCAAAAAGGTTAATAATGCCTGTGAACTTTCGCATTAAGATAGTGGAGTTAATATTAAAATTTAGCGTTATCTCTGCGATTAAATGAAACTTTGGGTACGTTTTATGTAATCGCAGAGTTGATCGTCAATCAAAGTAATCTCTTGCTGTATGGGTGTGAAGCATGGAAGGTCACGAAAAGATCATACACACACAGGTGTTTATTAACAGCTTGTGGTAAATACTTGGCATTCTGCAGCCTGAGAAGGCTTCCAACGAACGCCGTGGGAGTCGTTTCGGATTATGCCAGTTGACAAGCAGTTCATGCATCGCAACATGACTCTAATGTCGCTAATGTCGTCTATGAAACAACGAAATAAAACATTAAGTAAATTATGTTTTTTTTCCTACCTATGCTGATAGCTTTGAGAGGCTATTTCAGCTTCGCCCTAACATGTAGGTGAGCTCACGGGGCTCAAACCGGAGTGTTGCTAGCACTGACCCTAGCAAGAGCAGTGCTTCGCAGAATCTACCACCGGATCGAAAACGCGACCCACTGAGAAGATCCGGCGAGAAACTCAGTGGGCTGTGTCTATGGGTTAATTCGCTCGTCGAGCCCTTCGTCGCAAGCGACGGGTTCGACGAGGACGGTGACCGGTGCTTGTGGTGCCTAAAAGCAGCGTTAATGGATCGGCCGGATCCGTAATGACTTGTTAAATTATGACTTTAAGGTGAATTAAAACTATTACTTGACACAAAACATTCATGTACATTAGTATTAGCTTGATGGGTTACAGGATAACCAACTCAAGATGTCTCGTTTTGTGCGTAATACTAGCTTTTGTGATGGGCTGCTATTTAGCATCTTTGCCCATAGAAGATGGTAAGATTAAGTCTTACGTAGACTAAGTAATCTTCGGTAAATTTATCAAAGTTCATTAATCGTAAAATAAAAAACGTTTTTTTTTCACCGAATAACCAGTGTTACCTGAATGAAAGGCGATTGCAGCCAGGCAAAGGCATCCAGCAGAGATGCGAATGTTGCGATGGATGTGTGGAGTAACGAGAATGGATAGAACACGGAATGAATATGTTAGAGGAAGTCTGAAAGTGGCACCTGTGGCAGAGAAGCTGAGAAATGCGTGTTTGAGATGGTACGTACGGACATAGGATGAGACGAAATGAAAATGAGGTTGGTAAGAAAATGTTAACTATGAATGTGGAAGGATATAGAGGAAGAGGTAGACCTAAGAAGAAATGGATGGATTGCGTGAAAGACGATATGGGTAAGAAGAACACCGGTGTTCGAATCCCGCAGGCGGGTACCAATTTTGTAATGAAATACGTACTTAACAAATGTTCACGATTGCTTACACGGTGAAGGATTAGCATCGTGTAATAAAAATCAGTCCCGCAAGATTATAATTTGCCTAATTACACTATTTTTAATTCAAATTTATTAAAATTTATTTTCTATTTTTTAGTTGGATTTTCTATAAAAGCGTATTTTGTTAGTTTTTTTTTAAACTATTTTTTTTATTGCATAGTTGGGTGGAAGAGTTCACAGCTCACCAGGTGTTAAATGGTTACTGGAGCCCATAGGCATCTACAACGTAAATGCCGCCACCCACCTTGAGACATGAGTTCTAAGGTTTCAGTATAGTTACGGTTAGTTGATGTAAGGAACAACTGTTATAGACAATTACGATTCTCAGGTTTCAACGTGGCCACATTCTCGTTTTGATGTCCACGGGCTCAAGCAGCCACTGACAGTTGGCACTTCATCTGTTTTCCGACTACACATCTTCAAAGCGTGATATTATTCTCTGTTCATAAGCTTAGGTGTTTTTAATTTAAGCTCTCGTGTTTACGGTTACCAGAAAATCTTGGTATTCCACTTTAATACACCAATGCGTTCCTACTTATTTAGTTTCGATCGTTTATTGGCAATTCTTGAACGATATTCCGGTGTAATAAGTAGATAATTTTTAGCTCGGGCGAGGTCCGCTCCAGTAGGTACCCTAAATTTTAAATTAGCTCGCTAAAGTGGTCTAATGGGCGACCGAAAAGGACCGAAATGGAACTAGGTCCTGATGCGAAATTCGTTCGTTCCAGTTCTCGGCTAGTGCACGCCATTCTGGGACTCTCTTTTTTTTCCTTTTTTTCCTACCTATGCTGATAGCCTTGAGAGGCTATTTCAGCTTCGCTCTAACGTGTAAGTGAGCTCACGGGGCTCAAACCGGAGTGTTGCTAACACTGGCCCTAGCAAGAGCAGTGCTTCGCAGAATCTACTACCGGATCGGAAACGCGACCCATTGAGAAGATCCGACCAGAAACTCAGTGAACTGTGTCTGTGGGTTAATTCACTCGACGAGCCCTTCGTCGCAAGCGACGAGTTCGACGAGGACGGTGACCGCGGCTTGTGGTACCTAAAAGCACCCTTAGACTCTGATAGCGAGATATTTCCAACGCCACCGAGCCAACGGCACCTAAGCCGTGAGATATAAATGAAATTCAATGCAAAAGCTTATGTGGGCTTAAGCACAAAATAACTATAGGTATGTATACATATTAATGTATGCTTATATAATTTTATTTTTGTGTATTATAGGCATAGTTAACAATTGCTTCAATCGCGATAATAAGGGTAGAAATATATATTTTTAACTTATTTTGTGTACTTAGTTCTGGCGAATGAATAAATCGCTTTAAGTTTCTTAATATATTCTTTTGAGCGTCTGCTTATATTGATAACTTTACAGATGGCCGAAAAGCGCATTAATTAAGACTATTATTATCCGGATAATTTAGATTCAACAAAAGTTCCGTCTAAAAAAACTAAAAAATAAATAAATCAATAATCTGTTTTTTAAACAAGACTATTATCATCCGGATAATACAGATTCAACAAAAGCTCCGACTAAAAAACTTAAAAAAAAAATCAACAGTTATCTGTTTTTCTTTCACTAATATGGCGTTGATAATATCCGTTACAGCGTCCGCAGCATCTCATCTCTCATACGATTTACAAGTAAAAATATAAAGCGTGTAATAAGGAAAGAAGTCAGGATACGTGCATAGTCGATAATTATTTTAAAATCTAAAATTACTCACAAAGTAATACGGTCACAAAGCGAAATGAGAAAAACGGTATCGTTCGCCGGAACGAAATTAAAAGTCCGTAACCCTTTTTTAATTAAAATCAATGGAACACGCCAAGAACTATTTACAAAACATCATTATTTGTTTTGTTTTCACGAAAGCGGAAAATATCCATGAAATTATTATTTTTTCAATAAGTACCTATGCACCTATTTGTGATGCAGTTTGTAGAGACTGTTTGTTCATCTAAAAATATTTTTTATTTTTTTATTTATTTCATTTACTTAAAATTTTGCATTCATATTACATTCATTAACATTTCATGTAGAATATCAAAATTAAATAAAAACGATAAGTAAATTTTTCGGAATAAAATAAAAATAATAATAACAATAAAAATGAACGTCAAAACTACCTTAACCTTATGTTTTAACCTTTTTTCAATTTCATAAATTAATTTATATTTTGCATAGTACAGCACAGAACAGCATCCGTGACGTTGATATTGTAAATTGTTGCGATTCAAATCTGCGCACGGTTCTCGTATCGGAGAGGTTGGCTCGCGGTAAATCAATTACGCCCGGGGCGGGGGCCAGCGAGGGCTCCACCATTATCCGGCGACTCTAAGCTAATAACGCATCGAACCTAATTAAAAAGTATTAAGACGGCGTCGGTAGGAACGCGCCGGAGTCCGCCGCGCCAAATCGAATAAGCCGCGCGTCCTAACCCACCCAATCCGACACCTTAATTGAATCATAACCGACAAAATTTAAATGCCCCATTTGTCGCGGCGCGTCCGAATAATCTGTTGTAACACGATAAACGGCCGGTTAAATCACGAGCTCTTAACTTAAACCGCCCACCGGGAAAGCGTTCCAAATTCGAATAACACCTTTTAGCTGTAGTCCGCCAATAGCGATTCGCGAGTTCAAATTAAGAACGGAGCTTCGTGACTGCCGACCGCCTCTCGGGGGGAGCGGACCAATCGGATCGCGGGAGTCCATGTTCGTTAGTGTTCTTTTTTCCGTTGTCCGGGCGTCGGCTCGTGGTGGAGAGCTCACTCGGCCGCGCGCCGCCCCGGCGTTCGTATCGCGCGTCGCGTCACAATGGATTGTGCTGTGTGACATGTGCATCTGAGTTGGTGTATTTGTATTTCTGTGACGTTCCCGCTGTGCGTGAAAGCATGATGCCTCTCGCACCGACCCCTGTGGTGGCGGTGCCATCGAAGCCGAAAATCGGATTCAGCATAGACAGTATCGTTGGGGGTTCTGATAGGTCGCGGCAGGCGTCGCCGCCGCTGGCGAGCCCCGGGTCTCCGTCGCCGGTTGCCTCTCCGAGGAGTCCCTCGCCGCGTCCCCTGCTCCGGCCGAGCGCTTTGCCAGCCGTGTTCCCATCTCCGGAGCTGAAGAGGCTTCCGTACCTCGACGCCCAGAGTCACCACCACCAGTTCTTGGCGCATTTCCAAGGAGCGGCGCTGGCGGCAGCTTTGGCCCATCAGCAGCAAGGTTTCGGTGCTCCCCTACCGCCGCACCCGCCGCCGCACCCCGCCGGGCCGGTACCCAGAGAGTCTTACCAGCTCTACCCCTGGCTGATCAACAGGCACGGAAGGTTGTTCCCGCACAGGTTTCCTGGAGGTAAGCAGTTTCCAAACACTAATTAATGAACAAACAGATAGCATTCTAAACGAGGCTGTCGGTTCCGATAAAAACCGGGATGATTATTGCATAGAAGAAACAAAACACGCATTATCTTTTGTACGGACCATCTATTAATATATCTATACTATAATAATATTATAAAGAGGAAAGATTTGTTTGTTGGTTTGTATTGAATAGGCTCCGAAACTGCTGAACCGATTTGAAAAATTCTTTCACTGTTTGGAAACTACACTATTCCCGAGTGACATAGGCTATAATCTTTTTTGAAAAAAATTAGGGATCCTTACTAAAACTCCAATAATGTAACTCAAGGTGTAAAAAAATTGCCTAAAATATTCTTTACATCGCGTGCCCTGCGAAAACTATTGATGATAGAATAAAATAATGTACCACGACTTTGTAGAACACATTATTATTTACAAAAAAATGTCGCGACAGTATATGTCTAACTATTATAGTTATGCCGCGTATATAAGTGTTCTTTTATTTTTTTAAATAAAACAACGTCAAATATCGTTGAAATTTTTGTTAAAGACCCGAGCGGAGCCGGAGCGGGCCGCTAGTTACAAATAATTATTATGTATATTATCACTATTCGCGTGACGAGATAGCTACGTAGATCATGACATCATCCATGTACAAAGCGCATGTTCGCGGTATCTTTTACGAAATTTAATTAAACAAAAAAAAATATAATACAAACATCTTAAATAATTTTGTGTATTTAATCATTCAATTTGTGGATAACGGATAAGATTATTCGTATTAATTATTTTAAGCATAATTTTCAACGGACAGCCGTTATCGGGAACAGAGTTTGATAGGGTGATGCGTAACATTGACTCACATAATACATATAATCTTTTATATAAAATTCTCGTGTCGCAATGTTAGTTACCATACTCCTCTGAAACGGTTTGACCGATTTTTATGAAACTTTATATGCGTGTTCAGTAGATCTGAGAATCGGCTACTATCTATTTTTCGTACCCTAAGTGATAAGGTGTTGTCCACGCCTAACATTTTTTTTTTGTTTTTGTTTTATTGAGGCATTACGTGGTTGAATGAGGTTTGTTATTTTTATATTCCCTCATCGTTCACAGCGCTACGTGTCTCTTTCACTCATTTACCACATCCTTACATACTTAAAATAAGTTATATATTTTTTTTGTACACTAGAAATTTCCTAGAAATCTTTCTTATATATGGCAAAACAACGTTGTTCGGGTCAGCTAGTTAGACTTAATTATCATTAGTTTTACCTCTCGTTTATATTAAGTTTGATTATTTTCTGACTTTTCGAATGTTTTACGGTTTTGTATAGTGATATAATGAATACAAGGCACGCGGGAGTAAACCGTAAAAATTTTTTGAACTAGCTGACCCGGCAGACTTCGTAATGCCTCAATCGATAAATAAAGGACCCAAACTTTTGTATAAAATAAACTTAAAAAAAACCAAAAGGTATCCGTCCGACGGAGGACACATCAAAGGATAAACAAAATTGTTATTTTTATTTAATTCCGAGCATTTTCATATTTCATATCTACCTTTTAAACCTTCTCTGGACTTCCACAAATAATTCAAGACTAAAATTAGTCAAATCGATCCAGCCGTTCTCGAGTTTTAGCGAGACTAACGAACAGCAATTCGTTTTTATATATATAGATTTCATCTTCAACTGGAAACCAAACAAAATAATACTACTGTTTACACATTAAGGCAGTGACGTAGCGTGGGTAGGCCTCCCACAAGAAGGACTGATGAGCTATTGAGGCTCGCGGGGATCCGCTGGATCGATCGTCCAAGTAGCGCTGGACTGATCTCTGTGGCGAAGCTTGAGGGAGGCTTATGTCCGGCAGTGGACGTCTGTGGACTGATAGAATAGAATAAAAGAATTTACAAATACTGCACTTTTAAAACGCTGTGAAGTAGTAATGCGTTTCAGTTTGAAGGGTAGCGCAACCGCTGTAACTATATTGAGACCTTAGAATTTATATCTTAAGGTGGGTGGTGGCAGTTAAGTTGTAGATATCTATAGGCTCCGGCAAACATTTAACACCAGATAGGCTGTGTGCTCGTCCACTTATCTATGCAATAAAAAGAAAGTTTCTATTAATCTAGCTTACACGAATTTAAAGATATTAAATTATATAAATCGATTTATACGGAGATATATTATTTAGAACTAGCAGAGTCCTGTGATGTTACCCGCGGTTATTCTCGTACTGCGGGTGACACCGCGGGGCGAAGCTAGTATAAAAAAAAAGTAGCCTTAGTTACTCCGTATATCATCAGCTATCTATCTATCAGTGAAAGTCACGTCAAAAATGTTACTTTGGTATATGTATTGTGTATACATACTTACGCATTTAATAAAAAATGGTTATTTTATTATGACAAACAGATACTCCAATTTTATTTATTTGTATAGATTTAGGTGGCTTCCACAATTATGGTAGAAATAGATCTTATTTTTATAAGTTTTATTTGATTTTTCGTTTCAATTAAAATATATACTGATGATGATAATGATGATGATGATGATGAAAATATATACTTGAAATGTGTGAGTCCTCAATGTTGTTGGTACAAATGTATTTAGAACTTTTTATAATAATTAACGGTCGTCTGGTGTAGTGGTAAGTGACATGGTCACTACACAAGGGGGTCGCGGGTTCGAATCCCGCCAAGGGAAGATATTTGTATGATAAATATAAATGTCTTTTCCAGGGTTATGGATGTATCTTGAATATTATGTACGTGTATAATAAAAATCTTACATTTATTTCCGTTATCTGGTACCTGTAACACAAGTTCTTTAACGAACTTAGCACGGGACCAGTCAACGTGGCGTGATTGTTATAAAAAAAATATTATAATAATTAACTCATCCACTGACCAATTTCAAAGTTAGATTGAGAAACATGTTAATAGGGTAAACGCGAGATAGATGTCCCACTTTTTGATATACTCATCTAATTTTAAAAATATTAATGTTATACGATATAGTTTATATTAATGTAGCTAGCTTAATCTTTTATGTTGATTTAATGTAATTTTTTTTTAACCTATCAAATACAGATTTTGCAAAAATTCCTCTTTGGAGTATAAATGCTATTTATACCGTGTATAAATTCTCTAGGATATGAATTTGATAGATTAGAAATGAATTTAATTTATAAACGGTACGGACTTAAACAATCCAACAGCCGACTATGACTATTGCTTTTTGTTATGTTAGCGACAAAAACGTGTTTTTTTTTTTGTTTTTTTTTAAATAAACTTATGCCTTTTATACCGTGTGTAAATTATCTAGAAAACGAATTTGATACTAGTTTAGAAAATAATTCAAGTTATAAACAGTACGGACTTAAATAATCCAACAGCTGACTATGATTATTGCTTCTTGTTATGTTAGCGGCAAAAACGTGTTTTTTTTTGGTTTTTTTTTTATAAACTTATGCCTTTTAAACTGTGTGTAAATTCTCCAAAATACGAATTTGATACTAGTTAGCTTAGAAAATAATTTAAAACGGTACGGACTTAAACAATCCAACAGCCGACTATTGTTATTGCTTCTTGTTATATAAGCGACAAAAACGTGTTTTTTTTTTTTTAATAATCTTATGCCTTTTATACCATGTGTAAATTGTCTAGGATACAAATTTGATACTAGTTCAGAAAATAATTAAGTTATAAACGGTACGGACTTAAACAATCCAACAGCCGATTATGGTTATTGCTTCTTGTTATATTAGCGGCAAAAACGTGTTTTTTTTTTGTTTTTTTTTTTTTAATTAACTTCTAATGGGTAACGGTCATCAAACTTATAACGTTATTGAAAGCCTTTTAATTAGCATAAAACTTTATTAAGCTCGATCAATAGCACGTTCGTCATTATTTTTTGTTCGCGTAAAGAACAGCCAAGGTTTTGTATGAAGACTTCGGGTGAAGACGCCGCGATGGGAACCGATTTGAAATACGGCCTTTGAAAGGGCTTTAGAAAATAATTATCCTAACTTAAAAAAAAACAGTTTAAATTATTATTTTGCGTCATATTGTTAAAGTTCTTTTTTTTCCTACTTATTCTAGTATCCTCGAGGGGTTAATCTAGATTCGCCGAACTAGTAGGTGAGCTCACGGGGCTCAAACCTGACGACGTTGCTAACACGAGCCCTAGCAAGAGCCGTGCTTCGCAGAATCTACCACCGGATCGGTAACACGACCCACTGAGAAGATCCGGCGAGAAACTCAGTGGGCTGTGTCTGTGGGTTAGTTTACTCGCCGAGCCTTTCGTCGCAAGCGTCGGGTTCGACGAGAACGATAACCGACTCTTAGAGTTTAGATTGCAAGCGTCATATCGCTGCGTGTGACGCTACGAATAAGGATTTATTATTTATTCGTAGGTGTGACCACGAAAATTATCGGATAGCGACATTTTTGTACATTGAACATACGGAAGTGAATGTCTAGGACGTTTCACGCCGAAACGGCTGAAGTTTTTTTCTTTATTGCCTAGATGGGTGGACGAGCTCACAGCCCACCTGGTGTTAAGTGGTTACTGGAGCCCATAGACATCTATAACGTAAATGCGCCACCCACCTTGAGCTATAAGTTCTAAGGTCTCAAGTATAGTTACAACGGCTGCCCTACCCTTCAAACCGAAACGCATTATTGCTTCACGGCAGAAATAGGCAGGGTGGTGTTACCTACTCGCGCGGACTCACAAGAAGTTCTACCACAAGTAATTAAGCAAACTAAAATTTGCGGGTTTGATTTTTATTACACTATGTTATTCCTTCACCGTGGAAGTCAATCGTAAACATTTGTTGAGTACGTATTTCATTAGAAAAATTGGTACCCGCCTGCGGGATTCGAACACCGGTGCATCGCTACACACGAATGCACCGGACGTCTTATCCCTTAGACCACGACGACTTCAGAAGTGATTTTGATGAAATTCCTCATGGATT